CAGCGTGGGCGGGAGACCCAGGCGTTGGCAAGCGGGCACTTTGCTCTGGGCCCGGAGGCAGGCAGTTCAGACCTCACTCTGTCTGTGGACCCCCCACCTCAGGGAACACAAGGCCGTGAGGTACTGCAGAGGGGGTGCCCTGGCCTAGAACCCTGGCCAGGTTCTGTCACGGACCTTAGACAAGCTCCTTTTCTGGGCCCCCCTGCAAAGGGCAGACTTAGAGGGTCTGTGGCCATGAGCTCTCGGGAGTCGAGTTTCAGGCATCGGTGCCCAGACTTCGCTCCATCAGGCCCAGCCTGGCTCCTTGGGCAATGCCAGTGAGTGAGTGGATGGAGGGACGGACAACTCTCACTCGGTGTCAGTGAGAGCCCAGCTGCCGGCGGCCCGTGCCGACGTGGGCAGGGCACAGCGCCGGGCTCTGCCCACTGAGTTGTTTCAGAGCAGTTTGCTTATAACAGCGCATTTCTGGCAAATGGCAATGAAGGTCCTGAACAAGGAATGTCGGTATCAGCCAGTTTGGGGCAGAAAGAGATGGCAGAGCAGGACCGCAGAGACTTCTCCGAGCTTTCAGAGATGTGGGAGGAGACCATTTGGAGAACCCCGGTCACTGGAATGGCTGTGAAGGTGCTGCGGCAGCCCGGAGAGTGAGATAGATACAGCATACTCTATGTGAGCACATGCACGCACACACACACGCACGTGCACACACACGCATGCGCACGCACACATGTGTACACACACATGCACACATGCACACCCATATGCACACACACCCCACACATGTATACACACATGTGTGCCCACATGCACCCACATACATGCACACACACCTGTACACACACATGCGTGCATGCATGCGCATATGCACCCTGGATCCTGGTCTGTCATGTGTACCCAGAACTTACTAAAGCAAAACCAATTTGGGCTTAGAGAGATTTGCTTTTATGTAAAACAAATTTCATCAGGATTTTCATATGAAGAGCCTGTTTCTCCCCACATGTCCCTGCTTGGCTGCATGTTAATGTGGTCAAATCCAATCTCGGGTTCTCTGCTCCGGCTGTTGGTGGCGCGTGGGAGGCAGCGGCTGTCCTGAGTGGCTTCCAGGGTGTGGGCTTCTGTCCTCGGAGCTCAGGGCACAAAGAGAGGCCAGGGTGAGCACTACCCTGATGAGTGGGTGGGAAAGCCACCCGTGTTTGGAACGGAGAGAGGCTGAGCTGGCCAGGATGGGGCGTGCCGGTGGCGTGGCCGGGGAGGCGGGCGGGGGCCCAGCCGTCCCAGTGGTGCGGGAGGCCCGGGCTGGTCTCACAGTTGAGAAGTAGGATGGGGAGGAGCTCAGCGAGGGGAGAGCTGGGCCCGGCTGCTGTCTCAGGCTGAGCTTGTGAAAGCAAGGACAGTGGCGGGTCCCCGACCCGAGGCCAGGGAAGCCCCTCGAAAGCCACCGGTCCTGGGACTCCCGGGTGGGCAGCAGGCAGGGCCCCGGGAGCCTGCACCGTCGCCTCATATGGTTCGACAGGCAGAGGTGGCTGCTGTAGCCATGGACAGTTCTGTGGGACAGGAGTCTGAGCCCAGACTGGTCTTCTAGAGTCCGCACGGCGATGCCATCCCTGCGCGGGCACTGATGATGTCTGGGCACCTGCGCCTGCCCCCGTCATGCTTCCTCTGTGCCTGTCCGCAGCCCAGGCAGGGGCTTCTCGGCACGGGCAGCACCCTTGTCTGTCCCCAGCGCGTCCCTCAGGGCCTGGGTCAGCGAGCACACTCACTGGCGCGTGAATGAGCATGCGGTGCGTTAGGACGGAGGGTCAGGGTCAGGCAGTTTGTCACTGGCCTCGTCCCTCCATCACACAGATATGGTTCCAGTCCCAAGACCAGCCGTCGGGTAGACACTATGACCTGGCTTCCTAGAACCAGAAACAAGCTGCTGTGGCAGGAAGTGGGGGCTCCAGGAACGGGGCTCAGGTTGCCTGGCCCTGGGCCTGTTTATCCGTGACCCTCGCTGCACACATCTGACCTCGATTTGCTCTCTAGGTACCAAGCTGCTCCGGGGTCTCCTTGTCCCACTGGTGTGGGGGCTCTGGGGGGCCTGGACCCAAGCGGCCCTGTACCTGAGCCCAGGCAGCCAGAGCCCCGCCTCTGCGCCAGCCGTTCCCGCTCTCCGCTGGGGCCTGTACCGCCTGCCCTCCCTCCTCCCGCGCCCTCAGGCCTCCGCCCTGGGCTTCTCTCCACCACGACCACCGACCACCGGCGACCCCAGTGGCAGCCAGCTGGTTTCTGGGCACTGAGGCCTGCAGGAACCCACTGCCCCTCAGTTCTAGAACCTGCACGTGGGGCTTCCCTCCGCCCCCTCCCAGGCCATCCTGGGCGCTCCCCAGCAGACTGCCCCTCGCCCGCTGGTGCCCATTCCCCCAGGACTGCGTGCAGAGCAGCTGCCCTCCCAGTGCCAAGCGCCAGGCGTGGCCGCTGCAGAGGCCCAGGTGCCAGGGTCTCGCTTCAGTGTCTCAGGGAAAGAGCTGCTCCTGGGCTGGGTCCCCGACGCAGGTGCCGGCGCCCGACAGTCAGCCTCTGCTCCACACCCCGGGGCCGCTCTGCCAGGCCCTCCCCTCTCCCGCGGATGCTCTGCGCCCAGCTCCGTGGGTGGCACCGGCTAGCTTACCCCAGGCTGCCAGCGTCCTCCCGACGACATCCTCCCAGACATGACATCCCATGGGTTTCCTCCCGTCCCCCCCACCCCACACACCCCACTTGGCTGCTGCCTGGGCCGGCCGGCGAGCCTCCGACCCTGAGCCGCCTGCCGCCCTGGCTCCTTCCTTCACCCGCTTGTCCGTGTCCTTCAGCCTCTGCGGTGAGGTGGGCACTGAGGAGAGCGGCGGGTGGATGGTCCATCTCTGCCGGCTCCATGCACCTGTCCCATCACCTGCTCCAGCCCCACAGCCCAGGCGACAGCCGCACCTCCCCCAGCCTCCGCCTTCTGTCTCTGTCCATCTGTCCATCCTGCCTCCAGCCCCCCGTGCCGTCCTTTGTCCCTGTGACCCTGCTTTCCATCTCAGAAGCCGGTCGTAGCTGCCCCGCCGGCTGGCTCAAGGCCGCCTCCTGCAGCCAGGGTTGCGGGCTGTGCTCCTCGGAAACTCACAAGCTGAAGTCCCAGCCCCAGTATTTCAGAATCTGAGCACATTTGGCAACTGCATCTTTAAGGAGATGATTAAATGGCACCATTAGGGTGGAACCCAATCCAATCTGGCGAATGTTTTTATAAAAAGAAGAAATTTGGACACAGACAGTTACGAAGAAAAGACCATGTGAGGACACAGGGAAGAGACAGCCAGCTACAGGCCAGAGAGAACACCCGGCCCCGTGCGCGTGGCCCCGACGCCTGGACTCCAGGCCTGGGAGGGAGCTGTGAAGCTGCCCAGCCTGTGCTACTGCGTTACGGCAGCCAGAAGGCCACCTGCGCCTCCCGAGGGCCTGGAGGTCTCTCCCGACAGCTGTCCCACCCCAGGTCAGCTTCGTTCGCACAGACCCCACAACCAGACCCGACACGGCCCCGTGTCCCCAGTGGCGAGGGGAGCGGAAGGCTCAGGAGGGCCCGTGGGCAGCAGACGGTTCGCCTGGGCCAGCGCTGCGAACTGTGCCTGAGACACGGCAGCAGCCAGCCTGGGTGCTGAGGACCTGCCCTTGGCCTCCCGGGGGCGGTGCTCTCTGCTCCTCGTTTGGGGTCGTCTGGCGCAGCCCCAGATGGACCCGCAGGTCGCGAAGGGCTTGCCCGCTCCTAGCGCACGGGGACAGTGCAGGGGGCTGCCACTCGGCTCAGGGTCAGCCCCTCGCGCCCAGGGGCAGTGCCCTGAACTGAGATGTGTCTCCTCCTCCACCTTCCCCTCTGCAAATAGTTCAGAGTTTACGGAGAGATCACTATTTTCTAACTGCCCCACTCACGACTTTGCACATGGCTGCAGACCACGTCCACGGTGTCATTTCCCTTCACGGGGACGCACTGCCCCCTGGAGGCCAGGTCGCCCAGCCTTAAGACACCGAGTCCACTTTCTTGCCCGCCCAGGCCTGAGCGAAGCTGGGTCCGGTCGGCCTTCGGGCCTCTGCACAGCGTCCAGGAACATGGGGACGATTAGGATGCCCTAGAAGGGGAGTCTCGGAGGGGAGGACGCCGAGGAGCTCGGCCGCCTGATCCCTGAGCACCCACCGGAGCTAGATTTCACTGAGGCGGGTGAATGTCCTTCCAGGACTTCTGACGGCTGGGGCGGGAAGAAGGCAGAGCAAGGGCGAGGCCTCAGTGTTCACGGACAGCTGAGAGTGAGCCCGGACTAAAGGGACCGGAGTTCACCAGGGGCCACGCGTGTTCAGATGGAGAGCAGAGGTCACAGAGCAGTCGATCTCCCGGGGGGAGCTCCGGTGCAAAATCGGGGTGCAGACTGTGGCCTTGACCTCCACGTAACAATGGCAGAGCCGGGACCCAGCACCTGCAGTGGGTGCAGAGCCGAGGCCGGCAGGCCTGGGTGGGGTCCCCCAGGCTGACTTCCCTGGGCCTCAGCACAGAGGCCTGTGGAGTGAGGCCCCTCACTGCCCCCAGGGCCCCGCAGGGCTGAGGAGCACTGGAGGGGGTGGGCTGCCCCAGGCCTCCTGCCCCCTGAGAATCGAGATGCAGACGCCTGAGTGGAGAGAGTGGCAACTTGAAACTCGAGCGCTCTTATATTTGGAAAATAGTCATTTTAATAAAATAAAGAGAATCCAGTATTCCCAACAGTTTCCAGTAAGCGCCCATGTTCGCCATCAGCTCTGAGAGGCGAGTCCTTTGCGTTCGGTGTGCAGGGAGGGGTCAGAGTCTCGGCCCCCCAGGCGCTTGCGGACGCACGTGCGCTCTTGTCTGCGGAAGCGAGTCCTGGGGCCCTGCAAGGCCAGGCCGCAGGCCATGGAGACGAGACGGGGCGGAGCTCGAGCCCCCCCTGGGGCGTGTGCGGGGAGGCCCTGAGATTTCCTTTGCTCCCAGGCACTGCGCTGCCTCCGGCTGCTCGCCCGGCCTCCACGTCTTCCTTCCTACCCTTCTGCAGACCAGCAGAACATTCTCCCCTTCTCGTCGCCTACCAGGAGTTTGGTCTGGTTTCTTGGGAAGAGGAAGGACAGACAGGATGTTAGCGGCCACCTCTGCGCCCGCATGTCCCAGCCATAATAGAAAATGCCAGCAGGGAGGGTCCAGTCCAGGGCCCGAGCCTGCCCCTGTCCCGGCCTCCCCCCGGGGGGGGGGTGGGGAGAACCGAAGAGTGGCTTCCAGGGTCGGGGTGGAGGGGAGCACTTTTGAACCAAGAGGGCGGTGGCCCCCAGGGCACCAAGGGATTCTCCAAGAAGCCTGGGCTGCTGCGGCCGAGGCGGGACCTGGTCTCTGGCACCTCGCCTGGGTCCCAGGAGTGCCCTGTGGCTACGGGGCAGTGCTGTAGAGCCCTCTTCTCTGTAATGCCGGAAGGGAAGCCGCCCCCAGACTGCACCCGCAGTGCGCCTCAGGAGAAACGTCCTCCTGGGCCAAAACTGCTAAGCGACAAGCTTTTACCTTTCGGATTTCTTTATGGGTTCATGAGTCTTCAGGCACGCGTGTATGTTAAAAAGCATCTCCTAGGGCTCCACGTGGCCACCTCGCCTGAATCCTGTGGGCCCTCCAGAGTCCCTGCAGTGAGCCTGCTTCTCAGGCCGCTGCGAGCCCAGAGCCCCCCTTTCCTAGGGGTGGCCACAGCGCCCTCTGCTGGCGGCGAGGGAAGCCAAGCGTCCTTACCTGGACATAGCCAGAGCGGTCACTGCAGGGCTGGCCTTGCTGGGCTTCCCTGTCAAAGCAACGCTGACGTCCAGCTCTCTGCACAGGGCAAGATTCTTCTCCCACCTGCGACCTGTGGGAGTGTGGAGAGCACGGTCAGAACCCAAGTGGCTTCGCACACATGCTCGTGTACACCCCACGGAGGGCCGCAAACACATACACACATATTTATATTTGTGGTCAGCAACTTGCTAAATTGAGGGGAAAATATATTTAATCCTGGCCTGTGCTCTTGCAGAAAGGACCGTCCCAATTTAATTTGCAGGCTGTGATAGTTACATGTGCTGACGTGCCGCTGTATCCACTGTGCACCAGATTGGATTTGTGCATTATTGCTTTCTAAATTGCATGCCTAGTTCAGCAAAATCATTCATCAGTGTTTACTGGCTTTATGCTTAATAAGATGCCCCACAATACCTTGCTGCCAAGATGTAATGCAGCCCTTAATTGCCTAGTAAAAATAAATTACATAAAGTTGGCTTTATCAACTTATCTAAATGCTCTCACACCACAACCAATAATTAAATGCTGAGAATGTCTTTGCAAAAAATATAACTCAATGATTGTGACTTTACTCATTTTAATGGCCGCATTTGGGGGCAGACAGCAATCCCTTCAATGTGGAGGGCACGATGGGAGACGGCAGCTGCGTCTGTCCCTGCAAAGTCACGGGGTGGAGCTGGGCGGGACGGCCGCGGCTGCCCCCTCCCAGGGTGGCTCCTCGTGTGTGCAGAAGCCTGTGCACCAGGACACGTCTAAACGACCAGCTCTCCCCGAGCTCTCCCTCTACCGACTGCGTCCGAGTCTACGAGGTGTTTCCTAAAACACTGTTCTCAGCGGGGTTGGTCCTGCTCAAATGACAAGGCGACGGATTCCAGACGAAATGTGATTGCACGTGCACACAGATGCAGTGCCCTGTGCCTTCCAGGCTCTCCCTTCTTGCCCCTGATGACATTTGAGTAACAGAGTAATATACGCGAGGACACATGCAAATGTCCAAGTCATGCCCGACATGGGTCCCTTTCCAACCAAACTGCGTTGAGCAATGTTATAAGAACAAGACCCCGCGGGCTGAGGTCTGTAAGTCTGCACATGGGTCTGCAGCTCTAAGCTGTGGTTCGGCCTGGTTTTTATGACTATCTCTGTGCCTCCTGGCATTTCATCGTGCCCCTCTTGTGGACAAAACACACCCTGGCACTCACTTCTATGGGGCAGCGGTGACCTTAGATCAGAAGGAACAGCAGAAGGGCATGGACCTGGCGGCCTGACATCTCCTTGGTCCCCGGATGTCATCAGCTGGTGTGTTAGGCTTTCAGAAGTCTGAGATGTGATGACGGCCTGCATTCTGTGGAGCAGAGTCTCGTCTACGACTATCGTGTTTTCTGTCATCAGCTCTCTACAAACTAGGATGTACAGAAAACACCTCCATTTGACAGAGGGGGAAACAGGGCCAGAGATCAGAGGACAGAGCTGGGTCCGGAGCCTGGGTCCTGCATCTCGTCTCATGGTCCTCACTGCCGACGCGCTCAGCCTCACCACCACCCTGATCCTCGGTAGAGACCTGTGCATCCCTGGCATTTCCGGGACCAACGCAGTGTCTCCGAGGTGCCCGTGGTTCGTCCGTGCCTCCACTGTCCACCCAGCCAGTGTTCGTGCTTGGACATCCACTTCTCAGCCATTGTCTGAGCCAATGCCCGTAGCTTATTGGACCTTGATGGCTTCAGAAGAGCTGAGCTCCAGGTTGAGGTGGCGTCTCTCATCCAGGCGTGCCGCAGAATGGCTTCAGAAGCAGTCTGGAGAAGAGAACGCGGTGCACGCCTCCTCCGAATGCGTGGGGTAGGGAGGGCGTCGGCCCTGCTCTCTGAGGAAGAGCTGTGAGCTCCTGCATCACCTCACTGTCTTCCTTCTCACATTGAGAGAGGCCGAGCCCTTGTGGTCCTAAAGGGCCTTGGCGAAGCCAGGACCAGGGAGCTGGAAGTGGCTGCAGACCCCGTGAGGTCTGCTCTGGGTCAGCCTGCTTGCGGAGGGCGCCAGCTGGCTCACCCTGCAGGGAAGGGCTCCGAGTGCACCCGGGACCCAGCAGGGGCGAGCACCTGTCTGGGAGCCTGTGTGAGGGAGGGACCCATGAATCCGTGACAAAATGAATCGAGGGTGTGGAGTACACTTTAGAAATAAAATGCTCCTCGAGCCCTCCACAACCTGAAATTCTCTCCAGGGCCTGGTTATGGGTCCTGGGATGCAGAACAGACGTCATCACAGCAGAGAATTGTCACTTCTTTCTCAACTGTCTCCTTCAGTCCTGGGCACCAAGGAAGTCTCTGTTCTAGGCCAGAATCATTTATTTTTTTTTTTTTTGAGTAATAAAACTTGAATTTATTTTATATATTTTTAATAAATTAATTTATTTTTGTTACAGATGTTTCTCCTCCCCCTGATTCCCCTCCCCCCCTCCCCACCCTGTCCCCAGCTTTGTTGTCCATGTCCATTGTTCATCACACATGCATATAAGTTCTGTGGTTTATCTCTCCCCCACCAACCCCTCTTCTGGGGATTGTCAGTCTGTACCCCACTTCCACATCTCTGGGTCTACCCCATTCCTCAGACTGTTATGTTCACTATATTCCACAAATAAGTGAGATCATGTGATATTTGTTTTTCTCTGCTTGGCTTGTTTCATTTAGGATACTACTTTTCAGGTCCCTCCATGTCATCTCAAAGGATAAGAGATCTTCCTTTCTTACAGCTGCATAGTATTCCATTGTGTATATGTACCACTGCTTTATTTTATCCATTCGTCTCCTGATGGACACTTGGGCTGTTTCCAGATCTTAGCTATTGTAAATAGTGCAGCTATAAACATAGGGGTACATATATTCTTTCTGCTTGGTGTTTCAGGCTTCTTAGGGTATACTCCTAGAAGTGGGATCACTGGGTCAAATGGAAGTTCCATTTTTAACTTTTTGAGGGAACACCATCTTGTTTTCCATAGTGGCTGCACCAGTCTGCATTCCCACCAGCAGTGTACTAGAGTCCCCTTTTCTCCACACCCTTGTCAACACTTGTTCTTTGATGATTTGTTGATGGCGGCCATTCGGACAGGTGTGAGGTGATACCTCGCTGTTGTTTTAATTTGCATCTCTCTGATGATTAGTGATGTTGAGCATTTCTTCATATGTCTCTTAGCCATTTGTTTGTCCTGTTTGGAGAGGTGTCTATTTAGTTCCTCTGCCCATTTTTAAATTGGGTTCTTTGTTTTCCTTTTGTTGAGTTGTATGAGCACTCTCTGTATATTGGAAATTAACCCCTTATCTGATGTATCATTGGCAATTACGCTCTCACATACAGTGGGTTTCCTTTCCATTTTGATGACTGTATCTTTTGCTGAGCAGAAGCTTTTGAGTTTGATGTAGTCCCATGTGTTCATTTTCTCCTTTGTTCCTGTTGCCTTAGGTGATGTATCAGTGAAAATTCTGCTGCGTGTAATGTCTGAAATTTTGTTGCCAACATTTTCTTCTAGGATTTTTATAGATTCATGAGTCACATTTAAGTCTTTTATCCATTTTGCGTTTATTCTTGTGTAGGGTGTAAGTTGATGGTCTAGTTTCATTTTTTTGCATGTAGCTGTCCAATTTTCCCAACACCATTTATTAAAGAGGCTGTCTTGACTCCACTGTATGCTCTTGCCACCTTTGTCAAATATTAATTGAGCATATTGCCTTGGGTCCATTTCTGGGTTCTCTGTTCTGTTCCACTGGTCTATATGTCTGTTCTTATGCCAGTACCAGGCTTTTTGATTACAGTGGCCTTGTAGTATAACCTGAAATCTGGTAATGTGATCCCTCCAAGTTTGTTTTTCTTTTCAAGATTGCTGTGGCTATTCGAGGTCTTTTTGGGTTCCCTATGAACATATGAAGTATTTGTTTTGGTTCTGTGAAGTATGTCGTTGGTATTTTGAAGGGGATTGCAATGAATCTACAGATTGCTTTGGGTAGAATGGACATTTTAATGATAAGTCTTCCAATCCATGAACAAGGTATGTGCTTCCACTTTTTTGTATCTTCCTCTATTTTTTTTTTTTTTTCAATGACCTGTAGTTTTCTGCAAATAGGTCCTTTATTTCTTTGGTTAAGTTTATTCCTAGGTATCTTAATTTTTTTGCAGTGATGGTAAATAGGATTGTTTTTTCAGTTTCTCTTTCTGTGAGTTCATCATTGGTGTATAGGAATGCCATCGATTTCTTGACATTAATTTTGTATCCTGCTACCTTGCCAAATTCATTTATTAAGCCTAGTAAACTTTTGATGGAGTCTTTGGGGTTTTCTATGTATAGTATCATGTCATCTGTGAATGACAGTTTCACTTCCTTCTTTCCAATTTGGATCCCTTTTATTTTTTCTTCATGTCTGATTGCTGTGGCTAAAACTTCCAGTACTATGATAAATAAGATTGGAGAAAGCGGCCATCCTTGTCTTGTTCCTGTTCTTAAGTGAAATGCTTTTAATTTTTGCCCATTGAGTATAATGCTGGCTATAGGTCTTTCATATATGGCCTTTATTATGTCAAGATATGATCCCTCTATTCCCAGATTGCTGAGCATTTTTATTAGAAATGGATGCTGGATTTTGTTGAATGCTTTTCCAGCATCTATTGATATGATCATATGATTTTTATCTTTCATTTTGTTTATGTGGTGTATCACATTTATTGATTTGCGAATATTGTGCCATCCTTGCATCCCTGGGATGAATCCCACTTGGTCATGGTGACTAATTTTTTTGATGTATTGCTGGATTTGATTTGCTAGTACTTTGTTGAGGATTTTGGCATCTGTGTTCATCAGGGATATTGGCCTGTATTTTTCTTCCTTTGAAGTATCTTTTTCTGGTTTTGGAATTAGAATTATGCTGGCCTCATAAAATGAGTTTGGAAGTCTTCCTTCTTCTTGAATTTTATGAAATAGTTTGAGGAGAATGGGTATTAGTTCTTCTTTGAATGTTCGGTAAAATTTCCCCGTGAAGCTGTCTGGGCCTGGTCTTTTTTTTGCTGGGAGAGTCTTGATTACATCTTCAATTT